TCATTGCATTCAGTTAGTTAAAAAGAATTTCCAAAACCAATCCATTTGTCAACTTACAGTTTTCAATACCTAGCTAACTTAAGAATCAAGAGTGACTTGGTGAAAATTTGAATTTCAGTGACTATTTTCATTGTTGAAAGTTCTCTATTTTTCTTGCAGCGGTGAAAGCCACGTCATCAAGCACTAACCCAATTTCTTTTGCTAAGTAACAAATTTTGAGTCTAGGGATCAATACCTATAACTAAGGAAAGTGTAATAAGGACACAATAAAAAGAGAAAAACTATAAAGACTTCATTGAAAATGAAGTCAAATTATAGTGACATGCATATTAATTATCCCTTACGGTTATTACAAGTTCATGCATCTGATCCCTTAATATTATTATATGTTCATCATTCAAAATGCAGCGCACCAGAAAATGGTAAAGTTTGGTGGTAGGAAATAGTTACCAGTAATAAGTTAACCAGTTTATTGATTATGGTTTTTAGTTTGCCCAGTAATTAAGTCAACTGATGAAACCTATAGCAGTGATTTTCATGGAAATTTTAGTGGCAGGAAAGAGTTACCGGCACGCAATAAGTTAGGTTAACCCGTGTGATTGGTTTTTTTTTTTTTTAAAGTTTATTCAAATCGAATGATCTATCAAATTCCACATATTATAAGTAACTTTATTAGATTTTAAAAAAAAAATTAGGTGAGTTGGGTTTCGATAGCTTACTAGGTTCAAAGTATACCTCTAGGCTTAATAAGCATTTACAAAAATACTTACACATTGCCTACCAAAAAAACTCCCACATGTTGAACTCATGATCCTGTAGATTATGAGCTAATTCTTTACTAACTGGACCACCTGTAGATAGTAATTTCATTAGATTTCACTAAGACATAGTGTACACTAGTCTTTTTTGGTTCAACTCCAAAACCCTGTATTGAAAATTGATTTGATATATTTACTTTAATTAATCTATGTCCATTCTACCTAAGATGTGTGTGTGTGTGTAGGATAAAGATCACCTAAGTTGTGCCCCCAATGGTTACTCTGATGATTGGGGCACCCGCTTATGATGGTTGCTAATGTTAGCGTGTTTCATAATTTTTGCTTTGTGCAATAACATGATAGATTTATTATTTCATTCTGTAATAATATATAAAATTAATATTTTATATTCATTTAAGTAATTTAATTTTTTTATGATAATATCAATGCCACTAAATTATCAGTTCAATTCATTCTTTATTCCTAATATATTTAAATCTTAAGATATGATGAATCAAAGTATATGTGTAAATCTCATCTTTTATTGCATATATATTGAAAAATCACAAACTTACTTTATTTTATCATTCGTGTATACACCCTTGGACACACACATAAACATAATAATCATTCTTTCTATCCTATTTTAGATCTTATAAGTTTATTATTATTTATTTAATTTGGGTTATTTTATATCTATGAAAATTTAAGTTATTCCTTTTTATGTCAATCATTGATTTTTTTTGCTTGCTCATAATATTCTTCATATTAGAGGTAATAATTCCTATTAGAGATAATCATGTTTAGGGTATGGTTAAGCACTAAATATGAGCATATTTTTCAGGAGGGATTTGAACCTCATTATTTCTTCTATGTTTTTTCGTCACATATTCTTTCTTATATTTAATCTCATCAAAGTTCTCATATTTCTTTTCCATTTTTTTTATGATTACAGATTTATAAAATCAATAATCCAACTAAACTCTAAAATTTTGCTAATGATTAGAAATCGGAATTGGGACATATGCTGTGCGTATTTCAAATCGAATAGTAAGATATTTTTACTGGGGTGCTCGATCGATAAAGTGAATTGAAGAATGATAATGAAGCGTGAAGCCTTGGTGGACCAGTAAAAATAAGAAATACACCCCAAATTACCTCTATAAGTGGCCATCGTTTCGTTTCGTGTACAAACACATGGAGTTAGTGAATCTCATAGCTCTCTAATAATTTTTCTAGCACTATAAAAATTTTTACTCTTTCTTGTACCAAAAAAATTTTACTCTTTCAGCAATAAATGTAGAACTAATTAAAATTATTTACCACTTAATTTTCTTTTATCTTCCAAATTTATAAGGCTTGTTTGTTTGTTTTTTTTTTTTTTTGTTCTTAGAACAATTTTATAAAAATTTCTTTAAAATAAGAGTTGAGAATAAAAAAAATATGCTTGAATAATTTTTTTTAAAATCACATTTAAAATAAAAAATAATGCCAATAATCACATTTGGCAGGCCACGGCTGCCGTGCGCAGTAGGTGAGAAGAGAAGGAGGTTTCACCAATTTTTCAAAAAAAAAAAACAAAAGTAAAAAAAAAAAAAGAAAAGAAAACATGTAAAATTTATTTTTTTAGTTTTTAAAACCATATTACTGTATGTTTGTTTTTGTAGAACAACCAACTAAAACAACTTATCGGGTAATTTTTTTAAAAAAATAAGAAATTGTTTTCAAAATGAGAAACCAAACAAGTTGGTGTAAAGTTGGGGTTTCATCAAAAAATTGTATTTTTCTTTGAATTATCTGTGTATTGATTGATCATATTAAAGTTGGGGTTTCATTAATAGGGTTTTAATGCAAATAATTAAAAAGGATATTTTTGACTTTGAGCAACCAACACTCCTTTATATATATATATATATATATATATATAAATAAGTAATTAACTTAACTAATTTTTTTTTTAACATTTGTAAGTTAGTGATACACGTAGCTTCTGCATTTTATTCATAATAGAGTATCAATTTAACCCGAATAAAATTTGAAGATGTGGGCCCAAAAATTTGGGGAGGAATTTCCAAGTTCCAACACTAATGTGCAGAGTATCACGACGTCTAAAGGCTTTTAGGTTATTCAGTTGTCCTATTCCTACCTACATTATATAAAGTCATGTAAACAAGCAATCATACATTGTTTTGAGGTTATTTATTCTCCTATAGTTTATAATGTATGATTGCAGAGATTTCCTTTACTTGGTGATCACATTTGATTTAATAAAAAGTATATAAAAGAATTGCACAATCGTATAGCTGTTAGACTATAAGATATATTTTCTCCTCTTTAAGCTTTGTCCTTGAAAAGGAAAAGAAAGATGGTTTGCATAGGGGAGAATAAGAAAGGATCATCTTAGATTAAAATGCAGAATTTGATAAAATGGATTTTATTTCATCTTTTCAGAAAATTAATAGAACGTTATCTCAATAACACTCATTTATATTTCTAAAGTAAATCAATTATTAAAATTGAATAATTTCCAGAGATTAAAAAGAGAAACTTGAAGAAAAACCAGAATTTCAATGATCAAGAAGATACTCAAAATACTAGCGCTAAAAAAAAGGAAAGAAAAAGCTGAGAGAGCTTCCTCATTTAAAACTTTCGGCACAACTCGAGTTTAAATTGACATTTTAGGAAACAGGAAAAGATTTAGATAATTTGCAAAACAATCATTTTAATAACTGTTGGTATTATTAATTAACATGAGAATATCACGCATATGCTTATTTTGTTTCATACCAGCCAGTGTTGGTTGTTTTCTTGTTTAATTATTAAAAGATGTCTCTTCTTGCAAGAAGAATATTTTTCCAAAAAAAAAAATAATCGATTAATTTTCCAAACAGCATCGACCATCATATAAATTGTTGCATGAACAAAAAATCTTGAATATCCATTTCAGAATTTTCATTAAGTTGCTTGCCTCATATTTCTCAGCTTCAATTCAATTTTATTATATATATATATCACCATAAAAGTCAAATGATACAAATTATCAGTTTAATTTTTTTATGGAATTTCCATTTTTTTATTAAAAAACTAAGATAGAGTTCTTTTCAAATAAAAAAAAAATAAACTTCTGTTTTGTGTAAGCTTTACGTCTCTATGCAATTTTCACGCAAGATTTGTACAAGTATACAGGTTGGTGCCGCTCGGAGGTAAAAGGTCAAGTGATATATAATTAGAACTAATGCTATCACCCAAAACTAATATCATCAAATGTGGAGAGAATTAATGTATAATAATAATTAAAGAAAATTCCTTATTCCAGTAATTTCTACTCGTTGGGTTTTATTTATAAGGTTGAGAGAACATATTGTTTTTAACCTATTATGAGTTACATTGCTATATTACTCTTCATTTAATATTATCACCCAAAAATAATATTATCAGATGTGGACACAATTAATATATAATAATAATAACTAAAGAAAATTCCTTATTCCACTAATTTCTACTCGTTAGGTTTCATTAATAAGGTAGGAAGAAAATAATTTTTTTTTATCCTATTATGAGTTAAATCACTAAATTTTCAACATAGATGTACAATTTTATTCTTTATTTATTATTATGTAGACTTTTCTTTCATGATATATAATGCATATTAAATTAGGGTAGGGTTGGAAAGTTTTTAAATCTTAAGCATGGATAATGAGATTTAATATTTTTCTTGATTTTGCTGTAACATATTGAAAGTAATTTAAAAATTAGTCTAGATATGTATGTGGGTCCATCTTTCATCATATATTCATCTGGCCTTTATTTATACATGCTTCACAGTTTACACAAAAAGAAAATCTTAAATTCCAATAACAATGCCTTCAAATATAACAACTTTTCAATCTTACTTATATTCAACATATGCACTTTTCCAAAAAAATAATAATAACAATATTTACGCTATAATAAATGAAAACAAAATAGTACATTAATTCATGTTAAAAATTTAATGATGTGACTTGTAAATAGAACAAAAAAAGTATTCTCTCCCTACCTTACAAATAAGACCAAAGGAGTACTTATTTATTATTTTAATTTGTCAATAGATGCCATTTGCAAGAAAAATCTATCAACCAAAAGGATAATTAAGTAATTTCCGAATATCCCAAATCACCTATAAATTTCTGGTTGATGAACTCTTGGACATGCACTTCAGAATCTTCATTTGGGTGCTTTACTTCTTATTTCTTAGCATCAATGGCAAACAAGACTTGGGTGGTTAGTGTGGTGTCCTGCTTCTTGTTCTCTTTTGTTCACATTACAAAGGCAGGTCAAGACAGAGTTGCCAAAGCTAAGGAACTTGAGGCCGCCAAGCTTTTGAATAAGATGAACAAATCAGCGGTTAAGTCTCTTAAAGGTTTTGTATGATTCATCTTCTTCGACTAGTTTTGATTGTGACATTTAATTATGCACTTCGGCGGTTAATCAAGAAATTGGTAGCATCATTTGTTCTTCTGAGTTTCGATTAAGAAGAAATTATGTTTGGGGTTTATGATTTATTATCGTTTTGGTTAACAGTTGGCGTTAAAAAACGCAGAGTCCTGATGGTGACATAATTGACTGCGTCCATATTTTACATCAGCCAGCTTTCGATCATCCCAAACTGAAAAATCACAAAATTCAGGTAAAACATATTAATTTACTATTATGTTTTATTGTTTTATTATTGGATTTTCAAACTGTAAGTCAATTCTGAGGCCAATTATGGGTATTCAATGAGGATGAGGCCAACATTTCTTCCAAAAGGAAGGTCTTCAGAATCAAAGAAAATTGCTCAGTTGTGGCACCAAAGTGAAAATTGTCCTGAAGGAACAATTCCTATAAGAAGAACAATAAAAGATGACATAACGAGGGCAGGCTCTTTCCAACGATTTGGGATGAAGGATAGCAACACCATCCCTAATTTTTCTGAATCACTATAATCTCCCGGAAGCAACCATGAGGTACTTTATGACAATATTGGAAATGTTGGAACAGTAAAATATTTAATGTGCATGTCGTGGAAAACCTTATATTTTTTATGTTTGCTAATTAAGAAACCTTGCCTTGTGTATAAGCACTGGCTAATGGTGTTGGATTTTAATACTAAATATAAGACTTCAAACTATTTTGTCTTTCTAGTTATCATTTTTTCTCCAAATTAATTTATCTAACTTATAAAGTAATAAAATGTTACATAGGGATATTTTATAGAAATCAGGTCATATTTTTTATAATTAATTAACTTATTCAACTTTCTTGATTTATCCAAATTAGTTGAGTGGCTCTAATGTCAAGAACCAAAGGAAGTAATAGTTTTTGTTGCAGCGGTAAAGATCTTTTGAGTGTTCTCAAAGACATTAAATATATATACGTATATTACAATTCCCGTAAAGAAGCTTGCATTGTTTGTGTGATTTGCATATGAGATATACTTTTCTTGATGCTTTGATGGTTTGGGTGGCCCCAGTATGCCACAACAGAAGTGAAGAAAGATAAATATTATGGAGCCAAGGCAACCATAAACGTTTGGAGGACACATGTTCAGCAACACAGTGAATATAGTCTCTCTCAAATTTGGGTTATAAATCAAGATGATAATGATAATGTCGAGAGCGTCGAAGCTGGTTGGCAGGCAATTCTGCAGTTGCTTTCACGTCACATTCATTTCTCCAACAAATATTACTTTCTGTGTCTATCTAACTAACCCCAGGGTTCACTGTTTCTTGAATTATTTTGGAAAATTAGGTCAATCCACTGTTATATGGGGATGATAAACCAAGATTTTATGCGTATTGGATAGTAAGTTCAAATTTCTTATCAACCCAATAATTTCTCGTTTCTTGAAATCATTCTTTATTGTTATTGTTTCTTTACCATGTGTTTTTTTTTTTTTCCGCATCCAACAGAGTGATTCATATGGACGTACTGGCTGTTATAATCTACATTGCTCTGGCTTTGTTCAAGTTTCCAATACAGTGGCACTGGGAGCCACCATCCAACCATTATCCATCTATGGTGGTACTCAGTATGACATCTCCCTCCTTATTTGGAAGGTACCTTCAATTTTTTCTTGGGAAGGAGGTTATCCTAAATAAACTTTAAAGAACGATGATGAAGGGGAAAATAGGAAGGAGAGAATACTACGAAAGAAAACTTCCAAGAACAATAATATTTTCAGAAGTTTTTCCTCTTGATAGTTCTCTCCATTCTATTTTTCTCCCCATCCAAACGAAGTTTACATGTGTAATTCTGAGGATTTCTCTCAATTTACACATATTCAGTGAAATTTTAAATTGTTTATATCTAAATTTTAGTGATACTACAAATTAATTTATATTTTTGTAAACTGATGAACATGATAACAATAATTAATAATAACAATGACCAGGATCCAAGAAGTGGAAACTGGTCGTTGAGGGCTCAGGATATAAATATGGGGTACTGGCCAACTTCTATGCTCGATCGTCAGTCAGAGAGTGCAACAATAGTACAGTGGGGAGGTGAAGTACTCCTCCGATCCTTAATATAAGACCTATTTAACTAATTTGATTAGATTAAGGAAGCTAAGTAAGTTAGTTGATTATAAGAAATATGATATGTTTTTCCAAAAACATCATAATCATCTTTCTTAATATCCTTCCTTTCTCACTTACTTATGGTTGAGAGACTATTCACAGGAATAATTTAGGAACAATTGATAAATATGAGAAATAAATCTTATATTTAGGACCAAAATTAACTTAATAATTAGGTGCTATATTAAGGACTGGAGGAGTATTAAACAGGAAATCTAAGAGGAGACACACCACAACAGAAATGGGAAGTGGTTATTTCTCCAAGGAAGGTTATAAGAAGACTGGCTATTTTGAACAACTACTTTCCATTGTTAATGAGAACAATACTCTGGTCACTCTTGATAACTTTAAGGTTTTTGCTAGCAAACCCATTGACCTTAAACCTGTCATTAACGGTGATGTCCGCTTCTCCTACGGTGGCCCTAGAAGAAACTCAAATTGCCCAATTTAAACATGAGGGACTTTGAAAAGTCTAAATCCATCCATCTATGTCAAGGAAATAAGGGAGTTCTACTGGCCTGCATGGATTGAACTCCGTAGCCTTATCACTAGTACTATATATAGTTAAGACCTCATCCATGGGATGGATATTGTATCCAAGGCCTCGTATATAAGCTCATAGAATAAGATTGGCCAGAGATACAATTTTAATAACGCTATGTATGTAGTGTTTGGTGTGACATTGTATCATATCATTGTTCACTGAATAGCTTAACCGCAAGCAGAGGGGTCACAAGTAATATAAAAAATATCTTTCCCTCAGAGACTAAGGCCAGATGAGTTAAAAATCATATATAATTGTGTTCTTGGTTAGGTTAGGTGAAGCAAAAGTTGTAAAAGAGTTGCAAAATGACATCAAAAAAACAAAGATTTAAATCAAAGTGAATTCAACTTGACTTTGAGACAAATAAGGGTCTAGCAGGGTTATTTTTCACTAATATACTTCCTAAAACTTGATTAATCACTTCTCAAATAGTAGTTAACAATAAGTCTAGTTAACCCAGGGTTCACATAATTGATTAAACTTTCTCAAGTCAAAACCAAATTTTGCAATCTCAATAAAACATAGCAATCTCTTGCATTTGTTTGAAAAGGTTGCGCTTTGAAAACCAAAACCCCTTTTTAGGCTATGCTAGATCAATAGATATATCTCTATTCTATCAACAAGCCTTCCATTTAATAAGATAAATTTCCGGTCTAGCGTGTTTTTACCAAAGTTCAAAGATTAATCTAACTTTCTTAAGCTTCAACCAATCAACTAATCAATCCAAATGCTGGTCAGTCACAAGGAAGCAATAAGCTCAAGGTAAAAACAACAAAACATTATCATTAACACTAAAGAGAGAGTTAAAACAAGTCTTAATTCATACAATAGATCAAAATAACCCTAGGATGACTATTCTAGCTACACATGTTTAGCAAAGAGCCACAACTATAAAGATAGTTCCTAGCCATTACAGAAACAAAGAAGAGGAGAAGAAGAAAACCAAGAAAAAAAATGAGGAAGAAGCTTTCAATCTCTTGTAACTTCGAGCCCAATGTTCCCAGGCTTCAAAACCTCCAAACCCTAGTAGAGCAAGCCTCTAAATGAGCCCCAAGGTCAAAGTATATCAAAAAATCACTAGTCCCCCTATGTATATGCCCTAATTTTTAAGTTATAGTGCAAAATGCACAGTTGCAAGGGGTCAGACGCCGCGATGGATCTGGTCATCCGCCTGGCGGATTACATAGCATGGGACTTTGGGTGAAAGGTTGGGGACCACAGCGCCTTACACCGAATAGCATCTTCTTCAGACAACTTGGGCGCTGCGGTGGATGGGGACAGGCACCGTGGCGGATCACACCAAATGCCATCAATCTTCTCTGTTGGAACCATCATGGTGGTTGTCTTCATGCGCCGTGGCAGTTGGTCCCCTTTTTGTTTTTCTGCTTCCGGTCCCTCTTCCTTGCTCGCTCCGGGCCTTTGGTCTACCCTGATCACCCAGACTCAGTTGAATCCTTCTCCTTGTAATCATCTTTCAGCTCTTGCACTTTCCTACACAAGGAATAGAAGCCTTGCACCAATAATCTCCCAATGGTTAGCCTAAATCAAAATTCACTTTGACAAATTATGTTTTCTAACTTTAAGAGGAAAATCCTGCGCAATTAACTTCCAAAATCCATTAAAGAGTGCTAAAACAAGTCGAATTAGTAGGAATTTCGAGAGGTTATCAATCATGTACAATATAGTGTTATCTAGTGTTTGACGATGTATGTCATGTGCTTCAATTTGCCGTGGAAGGGACAAAATGTATTTCTTTTTTGGAGATAACATCACCTTTAGTCTATAAAATTTGACTTTGTTTTAGTTACGGTCTTTGAAATGGGAAACTAGTGGTTTTAAGGTTTTAGGGACTTAAAACAATGTTTTAGGAACATAACTAAAAATCTTTAGATGGATCAAAACAAGGTTGAATTTCAGGGGAACTAAAACCAAAACAAGATCTAATTTTATATACTAAAGATGATATTAACCAGTACATACTCTTTATATAAATACGATACTCCCTATGCTAAAAAAAATAAAAGGACATGTTGACTACTTCTTAAAATTAATGAAATTAGTTAAAATTTGTTAAATATAAAATTTTCTTACAACTTCTCAAAATTACCTTGATCAAGTTGAAGTTATTATTTAAGAGTGAGAGAGAATCAGAGAATAACACTTTTTTTTAAATGAGTGAGAAATGTTTTATTAAATTTTGAAACATTTCTGAAATATAATAGTTGTCGCCACTCAACATTGAAAAAATTGAGACAATTGTTTAAAAGGATCTGCTCGGCAAATTTATTGTATAAAAGGACCTGAAAATCATTTTAAGGATCAATAATATCCTTTAGGGCAGATAGATATGAGGATGAAATGATGAAATTGTCATTAAATGAAAACACGTATATATAAAATTTCAGAATATGATTCCTGAAAACATAGAACTTTTCCAAATAGTGAAACAATGTTTCCAGAAAACATGTTAATAGAAGAAAATTTTAAGAACACTGGAGAAGCATACATACTATTGAAGAAGACTTACATAAAAGACAAGTTGGAAACACGATTCCTTTAGTGGTCATGGAAGAAAAATACATACAATTGAAGAAACATGCGTAGAGTGAAAGAAAGATTACACAAAGGGGAAGACAATTTGTTACATACATTGTAATATATCTCATTCTTTTCTTTTACGAAAGCCAACACTATGTATGGTTGCCGCGTACATGGATATCACAGATTTAAACATTAAAAAGTGTCTTTATTTTGGTTATCGTTGTTAATCACCAGGTTCATTTCCCGGGGAAAATCTTGTCATAAAAGGACAATAAAATTAAATAACTTCACAATGTACCAGGACAAATCAGCCTATAAATTAGTGTCATCAAGTCTTGTATATCCCCTTGAGAAATTTGACAAACGGTTCTTGCTTGATATTTGTCACCAACAATGGCAGACAAATTAGGAAACGAAAATACCAGCTGGGTAGAGAAGGTGTTCTTCTTCTTCTTCTTGTTTTTGTTTTCTGTGCGGATGATAATAGCAGATCAAGACACAGTTATCGGTCATAGTCATAAACTTGAGGTTGATAAACTTTTGAAGAAGTTGAATAAACCAGCTGCTAAGTCCATTAAGGTATGTAATTCATCCCCTGGTTTCTCATCCCCATTATGTTTGAAACAGTGAAGAAAATTATTGGTAAGTTTTAGTATTTATGGTAGTTTATGTCAACAATTTGTTTTTCTTAATCCAGAGTCCTGATGAAGATATTATCGATTGTGTCTCTATTCTAAATCAGCCACCTTTTAATCATCCGAAACTCAAAAATCACAAGATTAAGGTGAAACACTTTGCTTGATTGCTTCATATAGATATATATAACTTTAAACTCTTGATAAAGAAAACTCAATCCGATTGATGATTTCATGTTTGAATGAAGATGAGGCCAAATTTTCAACCACAAGATAATATACTTGAAGTGAGTAATGAAATATCTTCAAAATCAAAGCCAATCGTTCAGCTATGCCACCAAAGTGGAAGTTGTCCAGAGGGTACTCTTCCGATAAGAAGAACAAGAGAAGAGGACATACTTAGAGCAAGCTCCATGCAACAATTCGGGAAGAAGAATCTCAAGAACGTCGTACTACCCTTAACCCCAAATGGTGGAGGTCAAGGGGGATACGGGGTACGTACTTGTATTGTCCCTATATACACACACACACCCCAAAATGAGAGAGGCTTTAGATTTTGTGTTTCGTTTTGCTTTGTTTGATGTATTTTTCTTGTTTCTTTGATGCTTTTGGAGTTTCCAGTGTGCCTCGGTATTTATTAAAGGAAATAAATATTATGGAGGCAAGGGAGCCATGAACGTTTGGAATCCTAATGTTGAACAATCCCAAGAATATAGTCTCTCTGCAACATGGGTTGGAAGTGATGCTGATCGTGAAAATATCGAAGTTATTGAAGCTGGTTGGCAGGTATTCTTTATATTTTTAAACTGAAGATTGAAGAAAAATAATTAAATTAATAATAAGAAAATACTGACATATAAAATAAAACTTTTTTTTGACTTCTCATGCTTTTGTATGCTTGAATATCTTTTGAAGTTATTATGCACTTATCTATGTAGTTAATTGTCGATTTTTGATTTGGATATTTAGGTGAATCCACAGCTATATGGGGATAATCACACCAGGCTTTTTACATTTTGAACTGTGAGTTCAACTTTTCATAACAGCCCTACATGTTTGATTTGTTAGTTCAGATATCTTTCTTAGTCCTTAGAAATTTCTCTCATTTACCTCTGTATATATGACAGAGTGATTCAAGTAAGAACACGGGATGCTATGATCTTCTTTGTTCTGGCTTTGTTCAAGTTTACTCTGCAGTAGCTTTGGGAAGCAGCATCATGCCCTTATCCCTATACAATGACACTAATTCCCAGTATCAAATCACCATCACCATCTGGAAGGTATATCATTTTACATAATGCCAATTATTAATTATTTGTATTAAATAGGAAGCAAGTAATTTTGATATACTCCTCTTGAAAGTCAAGATAAAAAAGATACTCCATCCATTCCCTAATGTATATAGGAGCTGGTTGGAGATTGAATTTGATTCTAAATACAAGACCTCAATTTATTTTGTTTCCCATATTTATTATTTTTCTACAAGCTAATTTACTTATAAACTGATATAGTGATATAGTGTTACACAAGGGTATTTTATGGAGATCATGTCATATTTGCTATAATTAATTAATTAATCCAACTTTCTTAATATACTCAAATCAGTCAAATAACTCTTATATCAAGGACTAAATGGAATATTATTTTTCCTCAGAATTTTGTAAAATGCCTCACATATTGAAATGGAGAACTTTTCAGAAAGTGCCTTGTATTTGAAACAGAGAGAGTAATTAATAATTGTGATAATTAATGAACAGGATAAAGGCAATGGAGGCTGGTGGATGCGATATGGCACTGATCAAATTGTGGGATATTGGCCTTCCTCTTTGTTCCCAAGTCTATCAGACAGTGCAACAGTGATAGAGTGGGGAGGTGAAGTAGGAAACTCAGGAACTAATGGACAACACACAACAACACAAATGGGAAGTGGGCATTTTGCAGGGAAAAGCTAGTTATTTCAAGGATATTAAATTTGTTAATGGTAACAACCAAATGGTGACTGCTAATAACGTTGTCTTACGCTGACCGTTCCAATTGCTACAATGTACTCCAACCTGGCTATTCTGATAATGTTTGGGGTAGCCACTTCTATTATGGTGGTCCAGGGAGAAACCTTAATTGCCCTGGATCATCTTAGCTTCAATATTGAGATATTTTGATAGATCGAACAAGATGTTGTTAAACTCCTCTGATTTTTAATATAAGACCTATTTAACTAGTTTGATTAGATTAAAAAAATTAGGTAAGTTAGTTAATTATAAGAAATATGACATTTTTTCTAAAACACCATAATTATCTTCCTTAATATCCTTCCCCCTTTTCTACTTGATTATAGTTGAGGGAGTATTCATAGGGATAATGTAGAAAAAATTAATAAATATGAGAAATATGTCTTATATTTAGGACCAAAATTAATTCAACACTTAGGTCTTATATTAAGGACCAGAGGAGTACTATGTTTGAATATAAATTTAGAATGTATTGTTGGTGATGAATGGTGATGGCAACGTTGTGAACTCATGCATTGTCTCAGTTACAGAGTATTTTTCACCCCATATTAATGTCCGAAAAAAGGTTAGAACGCTAGGAAAAGTTAGAATTAGGGTCCGTTTGGATAAAATATATTTTGTGCAATTTTTTTAGTATTAAAAAATGCAAATTGTTGAATCTGTCTTTTTAGTCTAAAACGTTAAAAAAAAAACAACAACAACAACATAGGATAAGTAATCAATTAATATAGATATTCCCCCCCCCCTTATAATGGATTTTTTTCTTCTTTTAGCAAAGGTAAGAAAAAAGTTTAAATTTTTCATTTCCAAGTTATACTAATAAGAGAAAGAAATCGTAGAATTCAAAAGGCGGTCAATTATTGGGCATTGGATCTCACGTTAAGAGCCCCATACACTCATCATTATTTGGTATGCAAGAACCAACATCTGTAACATAAAAATTTAAATCTCTAAATGCTTCAATCATAAATAGTATGACTCTTTTAAATTTCTGCATCATATTGATCCACACTAGTTGAAAGGCTAACATATTAAGAAACATAATTAAGAGTGCAAAAGGGAATATAATAAAAATTATACATGTATTTCTTTTTTTCCGGGAAATAAGAAACATGGCCCCATATTATACCAAGCAGGGTAAATGAATCTTATAGATTACAGCATTAATATTTTTCTTTGTCTGTCTTGTTGCCATTGTTACATCCGGATTCAATTTCTCAGGATAATCTTGCCACAAATCAAGCACAACAAAATAATATCAGATTCTTATAGTACAAATCAT